CAGTATCCAATCAAATACTTTAACCATCAATTTGAAACACCAATCAAACCAGTAGAGTCTAGCAATTCCTGGAAACGACCCATTCAGTAGCTCAACATATGACATCAGACCCTAAGATTCCCACACGCCAGGACGCCAGCGTCGCCTTGTTTTAGCGGCTGGCGTGTTTCCTCTCAAAATACAAGTCTCCCTGGCGTATTAAAAAACGACCTATAAGCTTACCCTGATTGACTGTCAGCTGTTGACTGTATTCATCAATATTGGTCGTGGCAATATCATGAATAAAAAGTTTGAAACTAACTTTTCTTTCTTTTTTTTCTGTGGATGCCGATCCAAACATATGTAAGTAAGCCGCATTCCAATTGGTTTAAATTTAAAAATATGCAATACTTCCGCTACCAATCAAAAACCGTCTCTCTCGCCTACTAAATTGTGGGATGGATATCGAGCCAAAACACGTTAGTAAACCGCGATCTCATTGGCTTAAATTTACATATCTGTCTAACTTCCGGTGGTAACAACTAATCAGAATTCGCCTCTCTTGTACCTTTGTCAGTGTTTTTTCGAAATTTTACTTTTGATATATTTGAAATATTCGTATTTCTCTCAATTTTTTCGGAAACCACTCTTATATATGATATGGAAAAGACCAAAAAGCGGAAGTATCTACCCAAATGGGAATTTGGAAGACCATGGTTAGCTCACAGAGGCGATAAAATGTTTTGCATTACTTGCGAGAAAGTGTCCAAATTTCCCAAATTTTTTTGGACTTGTAACTTTAAAATTTACAAGTCCTTATTTGGCTTGTATTTTTTTGGATGAAATTTTCACTTACAAGTCCAAAGGACTTGTATTAATTATTCTGAATCTTAGGGTCTGTATGACATACAGGCAGAGATCACGGTAGACGTTCGCCATTCGCCAATTGCGAATTTTCGAAAAAGGTGGCGAAAAATATGTAAAGGTATTTCGCAGTTATGGCGAATTAGAGGTGTCACGGTTTCCCGATATTGGACCGAATTTCGGTCCAGATGCTTCGGTTCGGGACATGGGACAGAAAGGGTTAATATCGGTACATAGATTCCTTCACTAAAATGCATAAAAACGTGTATAAATAGCGAGGAACACCTCCGATTTCGTTCTGAAATATTTTCACTTACCTCGTACCTAGATTACACTTCTTTGCATTGAAAAGTGTTATTAACGGACCCGCGATTTCAGGTAGATGGTAATGCTTGTTCGTAAATTTCTTCATCGTCATTCGCAAATCTAGTGCATTATCAGTATGCCGGATGTAGGAAAGAAATTGAAAAATCGAGCCGGCATCTAAGTCGAAAAAGTCGGCAGTTGGGAAGTATTTTGGGACTCCGATATCACAAGGTAAACGAATTGGTAATATTACACCGTGCAGACTATGTGAAATGCCGATCACATTCGCGGCAGATGCTTTACAATCAATTTCAATGGACGTTTTTTTATTCCTGAATATGATTTTGAAAAGTGAAACTGTCATCATCAGACATTTCATCATTTTTAATGTTCTGTCCCGTCCCGTCCCGAAAGTAACGTGTTGAGACCATTTGTACCGTTCCGTACCGTACCGAAATTTTCTTGGACCGTGACACCTCTATTGCGAATTCCCTTTTTTACGGTTTTTCAAAATGGCTAATTCATATTTTGGTTGGCTAAAAATATTTTGGAAGATTTAGCCACAATGGCTAACAAGTTTTTTCAACTATCGTGATCTCTGATACAGGGTGTTTCATAACGAGCATCTCCAAAAAGTCAATTTGAGAAGAGATGGGTCTATAACGTATGTACTATATATGAGCCTATTTTATTCTAGACAAACACATTTGAATCAACTAAACATGCTACAATTCAAGAAAGTACAAATGGCATCCCTTTGACCTGTATTTATTACAGTCCGAGAAGATCTTTCCTGACGAAAAGCTCACATTATGAAACACCTTGTACGTTTACCTATAAGTATAAGTATACGTTATAATTTGTACTTTAACTAGGTGCGAAATCTCTCTATTGCCAACAATACCTCGAATTATTATACTGTTGTAAAGGCTATCTGTGAATTCTGTGGAATATCAACTTTTATCGAAGATAAAGATAGTTTTGATCAAACAGATGCAAGCATATTAATCAAAACCTTGAAAAACAAATTATTTAATAAATATCAAGAACTTTTCTTTAAAAAAATTAATGTAGCTGAAAATATACCATCTAAAACCAGAGTGTATAGAACAGTAAAGAAAATGTATAAACAAGAGAAATACCTTAATATTAATAATGATTCCCACAGAAAGGCTATAACAAGGACTAGGATCTCATGTCATAACTTTCCTATAAAAGGAGATTCAAAATTGCAAAAGAAAAGTGATATTGCTATTTATGTGACTCCAAAGAAATTGATGATGAGTACCATGTACTCTTCGAATGCAACTATGAAAAACTTATAAATATACGTAAAGACTTTATTTTTGGTATAAGACAGATTAAAGAACAGTTTATACAATTTAAAGATACTCTATTGAGACTGCTCTGTGGCATTTTTTCTTTATTCCTTTTTGTTTTGAATTTTTAACACCATAACATTAACTAACTACTCAATATGCAACTTTTCACCACGTAGAATTTTAAAATATTAAGTTTGAAAATTCCATTTTTATAATGGAGCTCAATGGGAAAAACTACATAATTTGAATTATTTTCAAACGTAGCGGCGCGATTTTGATAAAATTGACAGATATAATAAATATTGGTAAGACGAAATGTTTGATGAAAAATGAAGAAAATTCACCGTCCTGGTTACGCAAACTATAGAAAAATCTGAAATAATCATAAAAACCTGTAAAAATAGATTGAAGGGGGTGATATTCATTTCTAATGTGCCTTTCACTACTACAGGGTAACCATAATTTTGGTACTGATTTGATTTTTCAATGAAAATCATTTCTATAGTGTATAGTCAGTTTAAATAACACAATTGCTATATTTCTTTACTGAACAGTGCAATCATTTATTTATTTATCAACAGTAATGCAAACTACATATTATACAGTTAGTAAAATATTAAAATAATTCTATTAAAATTAAAGCATTGAGATGATACTTAAATAATTACATATTATATTGATAGGCATATTATATTATAGGATTTAAGCCAATGACTCAATGCATTGTAGATGATTAAATTTAACATATGTCCTGATTCTAGACTATGAACGAGGGTGGTAGTCCAAATTCAAAGCCTAGACTAGAAGACATAAGTGAATTGAAGCATCCACTATTCATTGAATCATGTGCTTTAATTCAATTTCACACATTGCAAAATATTTTTTACAATTTCACTTAACAGAATGATATTTTTTCAAAGATATGTTGTACTTTTAGAATCATTTGCTTCAAAGAATTGAACTATGGCGGCCTTTACTCGTTATTTTACGATTTTTGCTGTAACTCGAAAAGTAGTCGAGCGATTTTGTTCATATTTGGTATATGAATACTATAAGCATGGCACACTGTCTAATGACACTTTTGGTAGAAGGCAGCCATTTTGAAAAATGGCCGTCCTTTTAACGTATTTTACTATAACTCGAAAAGTAGTAGAGCGATTTTGTTCATATTTGATGCGTGAATACTATAAGCGTGGCACACTGTCTAATGACACTTTTGGTAGAAGGTGGCCATTTTGAAAAATGGCTGCCATTTTTGCTGTATACTTTGTTTGTAAAAAAAATGCCAGCCATGGCTGTTCGATGGGATTTGCTACACTTTGGTGTTGCTGTTGTCTAGTTGAAGGATGGATGGACGGACAAATGGAGGGGTCTCTTAGCTTATCCCCTAATCTTCGTTGGATTGAACAATTGTGAATATGGTTTGTTGGACAAATAAAACTGATTGAATGTCTAAAAGCAAATAATGAAGTGGTAATTTATTTAAAATCATTAAAATCTCAAACATGCTTGCTTTGGTCTAGTCACTTAATTCCTAAATGTCCCGTAATTAGTATCTATATACCTTATTAGATGCAGTGAAGGAGTTAAATCATTGGGATATGAATAAATCATGCAAAACATATTTTGTACATATTTCTCATCATTTAGGGTTACCCAGTAGTTTACAAGCTGACCTTTGCAAAATATATTTCACTTACTATCCTCATTCGCTATCACGCTATCTTGTTTCTTTCCAAATTGGCCTGAATTGCCTGGTTTATTGGTTTTAGCGAACCGTCTGTTTCGTCGAACCATCATTTTGCTAAGGTTGTTTGTGATGAATATACAATATTCAGTTACATATAACTGTACAGCAACTTTATGCAAGGGAAGGTAATTGTGTGAGAGCACATAAAGTACACGAAGTATTGACCCACTTGTCTCAGTGAATCTTATAAACAGTGCATAAAGTTTTTTCTATGCAATGATTGGCTCACAGTTACTTATAGTGTAAGTCATTTTATTTCTATACAGTGTGGAATAGAGTGTATAAACTTTTACAGTTTCAAGCAGGTTTTAGTGTTTTCTGACCAATGATATATTCAGACTTATTCATTTCACGATTATGTAATACTGACCTACATATCTGTATAGCATATCTTTAATAACAAACAGCTATTTAGTTATTTACTTATGAGCCACGATAATGAACTAATGAATCCATGGGGTGAATTCCTAAACAAAATGAACCTTACTGTTGACACTCATAAAATACTGAGAAATAAAAATGATTTACTGAAATGGTTCCAAAAGAAAGGTGATGCCAAGTAAGCAAGCAATATGATTATCTCATATATATACTGCTCATAAATATTACTATACCCTTTGTGTCTTTGTATGCATGTTTCCTCATTGTAAACAACCATATATATTGTACCTTTATTCTATGTATGCATGTTTCTTTATTTTAAATGACCAATACTCCGGAAGGAGATACGGAACAATAAAGTACTATCTTATCTTATCATTTATACTTTTTCTTTTCAGAGGACTCTCAATTCTGTCATGGATGAACTGGTGGATGATGTTGTTTTAGGACTATGTTTTGAAACACACAGATCATGTAAACTGGGGACTCTTTTTCTGGATGAAACTGACATAGAGTGAGTAGGCCGAATACATGTATTCACGGGGTACCAACTATATGGGACATATCGAAACCACTTTGTCCCGCAAAACTGTTAATTTGAATTTTAAACTGCTACCAGGTTTTTGAAATTTGTGCCCTTAAAAGTAAAACAAAAATGCCTCTCTGTCAGTGCATTTTTAAGTGTACAAAGTTCCTCGTTCTAGGGGCGTTTTGGTCCCCAGTTGGTCCCCAAATTTTCATATCTTTCAACTACAAGTCTAGTTATTTCGCCAGTCTTACTCTATAGGGGACGTTAACCACTATGTCTCGCAAAACTGTTTATTTGAATTTTAAACCTACCAGGTGTAGTGGAGCGATTTTGTTCATATTTGGTATGTGAATACTCATGAGCCTTGCACACTGTCTCATGACACTTCGCATAGTAGGCGGCCATTTTGAAAAATGGCTGTCATTTTTACATTTTTTACTATAACTCAAAAAGTTTTGGAGCGATTTTGTTCATATTTGATATGTGAATACTTTAAGCATGGCACATTGTCTAATAATAAAACTTTGGGGAGTAGTTGGCTATTTTGAAAAATGGCCAGCATTGGCGATTTTTTTAAAATTTTATATGTGGCTACTTAAAAGCATATTTCTTCTTCTGATGACAACTTGGCTAGTGATCAAACATTTTGAAAATTGTGGCCTTTCTTATGGGTGTTATTTTATGATATTTGCTATATATTTCGTATATAAAAATGGCAGCTATTTCTATTCAGTGGGATTCGCTACACTTTGGCATTGCCGTTGTTCTAGTTTTTATTTCGAAATTGTACGCTACATGCTGTAGCTCAGTGGTAGAGCATTTGCCCGGAAAGCGAGGGGTCGTGGGTTCGATCCCCACTGGGGTGGACTGACTTTTTCACATCAGCCCTTAGCACAGGATTTCATTCTGTGTTTTCATTAACTAAAAATCGAGAGGAGACGGTCATGCCCAATTTGTTTGCTTGCCTTTCGTTGAAAGGGTTAAAATCGGTAAAAAAAACTTTGCCTACGATTGACATTCAACATCGAATTATTAGTATTTTAAGGCCACAAATATGGTGTAAAAGAAAAATGTAATCTTTGATAACTCAAATACCAGTGCACATATTTGGTTCAAATTTTATTTAATGGTGCCTAGGGAAAAAGTAGATTTGTTCAAGAAAGGATTTTCAAGATGGCAGCTAAATTTCAAAATGGTGGCCATTTTTCATGAAAACTGTAATCATTGATAACTCAAATACTAGTTGACGGATATGGTTCAAATTTTATATGCTGATGCTTAGGGACAAAGGATCTACACTGGTAAATAGATGGCCACTAATAATCAAAATATGTTTTGTTCGATGGGATTTGCTACTCTGTGGAGTTGCTGTTTTTCTAGTTTTGATATTTTCGCTACACACCATTTAATTTGAATATACATACCATCTCAATATTTTCACCTAGAATAAGTTATATATCATTTTGAATTGCTAATAGACCCATATATACATGTTTTTTTGAAAAATGGGAATATGTAAATGAGTGTCATTGTGACATCAAAATTCAAGAAGGCGGATTTGGATTTTTTACAAAACAGAATTATTTTAGCACTGATTTTATATTGAGATTCCTGAATTTTAAAATCTGAATTGACAAAATTATAGATCTTTTAATGCTGATTTCTGTGATTTGTACCATAGCATAACTCTTACAAATAATTTTTAGGGTGCTGAGACTGAAAATTCTCAGAAAATCCTAAACCGACATAGAGGCATTTTTGTTTTGCTTTTAATGGCGCAACTTTGAAGAAAAACGGTGCAGTATGAGACTCACAATTCTTGATCTTCAAACACCTGGTAAAATTCAAATTAACGGTTTTGCGGTACATATTGGTTTCGATACATCCCGTATAGTTGCCATATAAGTTGGTACCCTGTGGTATTACTATTAAAGATCAAGCTTGTTCAAAGGGGAAGGGGTATTGGGGACAATCCCCCGCCCCCTTTCCAGAGAAAAACTATTCTTTAGAGATTTGTATTTAATGATGCAAATATGGCTCTCAGAGATATTCTCAGAATGCACCAGAGAGGGTCTAAGTTTCCAAATTATTCTCGGAGGCATGCCTTCTTTCAGAAGAGCCTGAAGATTGTTTCACATTTTAGAGGATTAATAATCTTAGAATAAAAAACTGAGACTTCATTAGAATACAGGGTGTACAAAAAACGGCAACCCTAGTTTTTCCTAATATCTTTGTCATTCTAAGAAATAACTCCCTGATATTTTACACATTTGTACATCATTCAATTTCCTACCAACCTACCATATTTTATGACCATCGGACTGATAGTCACAATATAACTGCATTTTAAGCAACATGCCCCATATGGCTAATTTTGGGCTGTCTGAACTGGTCTGTTATTCCAACTTGATGCACTGGTAAACTCTAACAATTATGTATTCTTGGGGAGCCAAGCACTTGATGAAGTAGTGTGTTCTCAGAAGATAGGGTCCTTTACCTTTGATGATGCTTACGGATGTGCAATAACTTTAAACATCAAACTCTATTTTGTGATTCCCATGAAGTTCTTGGGGACTTTAGGTAAACTCAGGGGGTTGATAGGTAGCAGCAGTGATTCCAACAAGACAGAACCATACCCGATACACCCAATGGTGCACTATAATGGCATTGGGACCACTTCAATGACCAAATAATGGGCACCCCATAGCCAAGATATGCCCCCATTTAATCTTTACCAGTGGGGATATCCCAAAGATAGCATGTAGGGTAATAACACCAGAACAATATTTGACCTCAAAATTAAGATCACATGTGTCATTCAGGTCATACTTGCTGAGGAATGCAGTTTGTCATTGACAGGTTTGCTTACAGCACAATGTTGGCCAACTGGGGCACCTTGTTTAAAGTGCTGTAACATTGGGACTATCAGTCCAATGTTCATGAAATAACATATAGTCTAGTACGAAATTGAATTATGTACATGTGTGCCAAATATCAGGGCGAAATGTCTAAGATGACAAAGATATGTGGAAAAATTAGGGTTGCCATTTTTTTACAACCCTGTACTTGTACTTATGTATTGTCAGGTACCATGTGTTAGAAATAATGAGTATATAATGACCACAGTCAGTATGCAGTGCCCCAAATCATGATCCATACTTTCATCTCCCCAAGTTTAATAATGTAATCTAGACTGGCAAAAAAGTGGATGTGGTTCAAAATCTGATGGGTCAAAATGGCGAATTTCAAAATACTGTATAGCAAGTCTGTTTTTATTAGATGTTTGATGATTTAACTATCAGTACAGGTGCATTTTTTGTTCTTGTGTCATTACGACCCTGATATTTTTTAACAGGGCTTTCAGTAGTGCATTCTTAACATTAAGAGGACCCGGATTTTGATGAAGGGACTCCAAAAAAATTTAATGATCTGTCCCCTGGACACAAAGTCCTGTGTTTTCATTAACAAAATTGATAGACTTGGAAAAAGAACCTACCTTCAGCCTTTAAATTGGTCAAAAGCCGCTAAATAATCGAAGGATATTCTATTTCTAAAGGAAATACAATATTTTTTTGAAGTTTCTTTTCCGGAAGTTGATTTTCGATTGAAATAGTACAAGGCCTGTGATAGGACAATCACTAGTTGCTACAGTTATCTGTACGAGTCCTATGATTGGCCACGATTATTAATTGCGCATGTATCTTAAAAATTTTGACTAATAAAATTGCTGGATTTGTTGCACGTGTGCATAAAACGGAACTAATAAATGGAACCTCGCGGATTTTGCCCCTAGTGCAAATTGCTTCAAAATACGAAAAGAAAATGCATATTTAATGGTTGAATATTAGTTCTCTTTCAAGTGAAGGTATCTGTATCATTTAGTGACCTACTAGACTTTTGTAGAACGCTGATTTAGGCCGATAAATAACAAAACTGATAAGAAACTTTTCATCAATTGTTTCGTTCAGTGCAAAAATGTGACTTTGAACGGTTTCCCGGGATACAGTTTTTTGAGGGGGGACTCACTTTTTGAAAATCAATCCATCCCAGGACACTCTCTCGGACAAACCTACTGAAAGCATTCCCAGCCTATCGTCAGGCGCAATATTGGTCAATATTTGAGGTCTACTTTTGGTCTACTCATGAGGCGTACTTCTGGTCTACTTTTGGTTTTTCTCTGTGTTAAATCCCCATAGTCAGGCGCGTTTCAAATATTTAAATTAAGCCAAAAGTAGACCAGAAGTAGACCTAATTTAATGACCTCATCAGGTTTATCAGGTCTATATTTGAGGTCTAGACCTCATTTAAGCTTCAACTATCTGTAAATCAGGTATATATTTGAGGTATACTTTTGGTCTACGCCTTATTTGAGGTTCACTATTGGTTTTCAGGTCTACTTCTCTTCTGCTTTTGGTGTACACCTTACGTTAAGGCACATTTCAATTATGGAAATTAAGCCTTAAGGTCTAATTTTGGCCTAGACCTCATTTCAGGTACAAGCCTCATATACCTGTAAGTAAGGTCAGGTCATGTTTTGATGTTTCAAAGTAGATAAGTACTTAGTACATATCAGTACCCTCCATAGTTGTTAAATAAATTGCATTTATTTTGAATTGCTATGTTGTTTTCTAGGATTATCTTGTCTCATGGATAAGATACAGATCTATGAACACATTAGAAAGATGAAGCAAAAATTACACAGTATTCTTATATAAATTATATGTAGGCTTCTAATATGATGTATTTTTGTTTCATCATTTAAATTTAACAATATTTCAATATTTTATTATTTTCAGACATCCTTCTTTAGGTTTCCCAGATTTTGATTATTTTTTTAAGTTCTGATAAAAACCATTAATAGGGAGTTGAAAATACAGTTTACTGGTCTGTTAACCTAATATATTATAATCTGTCTCCTTTGTGATTCTGACAAAATACTACAGTAAGTGTGGCTTTTTCAGATTTATGTTTTCTAAGTTTTTAAA